AACTACATGCTTTCAATGACATCATGATCAAATTAACATTAACTAGTTTTGATAAATTCAACACTATTCTTGTATTAATTTGGAGGTGGGAAGGGTGCATTACATTTTATTTTGAATAAAATTTATGATTTGATTGTAGCTTATTAAGATTTGTTAATTTTGGGCTCTTGTTTCTCTTACTTTTACGCTAAGAGTTATTCTTTTAATTCATTAAAATACTGTGCATAAAATGTTGATATAGCAACAAATTGGCATTTGGTGTTTCTGACTGAATTATTTCCCTTAGAATAGTAAGGAGTGAACAAGAGTTAGTTCCCTTGATTCAGCTGATTTATATTTAATTTAATCCCCCAAACCGTTAACATTTTCAATAACTTTGCGTTTCTCCTCCTCTTTCTTCTCCCCTTCTATCACACTTCACGTCGTGCGTTTATTTATTTATTTTTAAATAATAAAGCGTTCATTAATTAAAAAAAAGAAAGTGTTAGGAAATCTATTAACCAAAATCGCATGAAGCTATCGAAAGGTTGAAAGTTTGAAATCAAGTTGCTGGAATCGCCTGATATATATATATATATATATATATATATATATATATATATATATATATATATATATGTATGTATATATATATATATATGTATGTATATATATATATATATGTATATATATATATATATATATATATATATATATATATATATATATATATATATATATATATATATATATATATATATATATATATATATATATATATATATATATATGTATATATATATATATATGTATATATATATATATATATATATATATATATATATGTATATATATATATATATATATATATATATATATATGTATATATATATATATATATATATATATATATATATATATATATATATATATATATATATATATATATATATATATATATATATACACACGTGAGAAAAAATTTTGTTTAACAGATTTCATCCTCTTGAAGGGATTTTATTTTTATCAGATGAAGTCCTTCTAGTGGACAAAATGCCTTACACAGAATATTTTCCCCACTTTTTCATTCATTTGCCTAACATTATTCTGATATATAAAAATTTATATGCAAGAATATAAAAAAGTGGACAAATTTTGTGTAATGTGCATCATCCTCTAGAAAGACTTCATCAGACTAAAGTAATGATTTTGTATATGGAATTATATAGACGGTATGCCAAAAATATCTCAATGTAGCAATGGTGTCTTCATCTAGCTAATATTTTACCATTATGTGGGAGGTATATGTGGTGGTGGGGGTCTGCCACACTGTATGTGTGGGAGGAGGATATATAAAAGTGTTGGTTGCAATTATGCACTGAAAGGAAACACTGAAGATGTTGGAACAATGAAATTTTAAAATTCTTAATCACTGTTGGGAACAGAATGGATTACATAGGCAAAACAGAATATCTACAAAATAACAACACAGATTTCTATGAAAACCTCAGCCAAGATCCACCAAATCATTTCAAATCAGAAATCTGCATTCTAATCAGCAATCTACATCATAGTGTATAGGCAGAAGTAAAAGCTTTCATTCCTAAGCAAAGCATGTTCTATATAATCCTCATTATTATTCTGTTTTTTCAAATTTCTCTGATCAGCCTAGTATGCCTTCATGCTATAAGAAGCATGTGGGCAATCTTTGTCATGTATTTTGGACCCCACTTCAATACATTTCAACTCTGTAGAATAAAACTAGAAGAAACTTGTGAAAACATGATCAGAAATTCTTTTCCTAAGCACTTGCAAAAAATTCAGTATTGTCTGAAATGTCTCAAATTTCAGAACTATTTTCAATAATCCCTAAAACACATCCCATAGATTGGTAATAGCCAAACTGCGGCTCGTGAGCCACCTGCGAGCTGCAGGTGGCTCACGAGCCACAGTTTCACCTTTAATATGTCATAGCTTGTGGAAATATGTTGGCTGAGCTCCTTTTTCATTCACTGTTAATATAAAAGGTAAATGAGAAAAAAATTCTAGCTTTATAATAATTATTTACTGCATATGAATTTGTCATGCATCTTACATTTTTCCCACAAACCAGATGTTGACTGCTCAATGACCCAAAGCACGTTGCGTAAATACATTTTCTGCACATAGGCTCCATGCATCTACCCACTTTAACCAAAATGAAACAAACAAGTCAGAGCCACTTTAATTACCAAAAACCAAAACTTTAATTTGGAGCCAAATAATGGCTATATATTCTCTGATTCAAACAAACTCAATACAGACCAACTTGGACATCAACACCAGTAAGTTGAGGGATGTGACACAAACCAGCCTTCATGTCAACATTAACACTGCGTTGAGAGAGAAACAATATAAGCGATGCCTAATAATTTCACCATTCTCTCTCCATGTTGCCTTAGCAACAGATAAAAGTTATTAGTTTTGTATGTATGTAAATAAATTATACATTTGTTTCCCCAAACTCAGATGTACTTGAATTTACGTTTGCCAAGACAGAGAAAGAATTATCCTCTACAACAATAACAACAACAGCAAGGTTCTTTCTTCCAGGTTACTTATTTCCACCCCCACAATAAATTGAAACTCCACTGGATTAAAACGTAAATTTAATGTTCATGATTAGTAAAAATGTTTAAGAATTTAGATCTTAATTTTAGTGCCAGATCTGAGTGAGGCATTGTTCTTTAGTGCTGAGGGAAGAGATAGTGGAAGACAGAGGGAGTAAAGAAATTTCTGGTCAGCAAGGGTTACAGAGGAATATCAGAAGATTGAGGTCATGGGCAAGGGGATTGATGGGACTGCACTTACATACATTAATGCAGTCTAACACAAGATGTTGAACTTTGCAGACCGAGTTGGTACACTTCAGGTACAAATTTTGTTTAAAAGTGTCAATATTTTTAAAACATTTGGTATATATATATATATATATATATATATATATATATATATATATATATATATATATAAGGAAAAATATACGGAAAAAACAAACAAAAATCCTAATATGCAATTATGCTGTTTTAATGTTATTATAATGTCAACGTCGGATGTTTCGGTCTAATAGACCATCTTCAGGACATATTCATAAAACATAATTAACATTAGACTATATTTAATTCAACATGAAAAAGACGATGGACATAAGAGCAAGACCAATCCAAACAGATATCTTTTATAAGATCAGCGTTCCATTTAAATATGATCACGTTGTCGTCACGTGGGCGATGTGATTTCAGTTATTTGAAATTTGGAATAAATAGTTTAAATACCCTAAAAAAACAAACCCTTTATGAAGTCGTCAAAAAACAAAAGTTACGGCAGTTTTTTATATGCACGAATCCCTTTCATAAAGAAATAAAATAAAAAAATAAATAAATCTCCGTAGACACGTAAGCCAGACGAGGGTTAATACATCTTCCGTTTCAAATTTTAGACACCCCCACCTTACCCTGACTTGACATCTACGAAAGTAACTCGATACTGATACTTATTATTAACACCCAACACACGTCTAACCAATTTAAACAATTCGCCCTAGCTGTTACCATGGAAATTTTGATTTCAATTATTAAAGCACGTAAATTTCTGAAATAAGTTATTCCAAAAAAAAAAAAAAAAATTCGCTTGAAGATGGAACAGAGCTTTCTTTAACTCAATTTAATTCAAATAATTATACAGTGTAACCCGGATATAAGAGACCCGGATATAAGATAAACCCGGATATAAGAGAGATTTTCTCTGGTCCCAAATTAGAGCCCATACTTACCTAAACAAAATAGACCAAACCCGGATATAAGAGAAGGCCGGATATAAGAGACTTCTTCTCCGGTCCCGACAACTCTCTTATATCCGGGTTACACTGTATTGAAGTTTTCGGCTCTTGTTTTGAAACATGAGACCTCTTATGTCGCGAGTTGGAATCATATTTTTAAATAATTTTATATATATATATATATATATATATATATATATATATATATATATATATATATATATATGTGTGTGTGTGTGTGTGTGTGTGTGTGTACTTTATGATTACTGAAACCAATACGAATTTACAGTTTAAAAAACTGCAGACATGAATAAATATTATTGAATACATGCATTTCTTAATATTTATATAAAGGTTTTGTAGCAAAATGTGTATGTAACTAAAACGTATATGTAAATATTGATTAATGTCTTGCAGCTCTCAAGCATCTGAATTTTATTGTATATGGCGGTATTTACTTAACTCCCACGGAGTCAAGATGTGACACAAGGTCGTTTTTCGTGGGAAACCCGAGCGTTTCCGCATAGGGTCACTGGTCAAAGATTGGTCATAACATGTCCAAACTGGTCAAAGCTTAGTCAAGTTCTGGTCTTGGCTTGTCTTAGCAGGTCCTGATATGGTCCAAACTAGACTTTGCCATGGTCGCAACCTAGCCCGAAGGCCGGGCTAAACAAGCTTAATGTAACTGCCAGAGGTCAAAGGTGCTACAGATTTACAATTTTGTGTCTTCCGAACTACAAAACCTTGCTTTTAAAGCTGCTTCTTCGAAACAACACATTTTACAAATTATGCAACAGAATTTATTCTGCACAGTTCATTTCCTATTAGCCTCTTCAACAATTTTTTTTCATGTCCTGGGTACCATTTTCTATAAGCATCTAGACAAATGCTTAACAAGCAAAGAAAACAAAGTAAATAATTTAATTAAAGATGACCAATTCCTGTGACATTTTAACATTATCTTACTTATTATAAAACGCAGGTTGTGTGTGTGTGTGTGTGTGTGTGTGTGTAACGTTTATATGTTGGATCGAATTTCCTACATTTTTTAGCCGATTTCAACAAAACTTCACAGGACTACATAAAATTACCTTGTGGTGGTTCTGACGGCGCCGAAAATGGGAAAAATACAGTTGTTTTTTAATAAAATCAATTTGAAAACACGATTAAGACACATCGTGAGAATGAAAGGTGGAGAACTCACCCACGAAAATGTAAACAATTGAGCATAACATGATGAAAAAGACGCCGAACTTGACGAAAACAAAATTTTATCGTCTAATGTTCATATTATTATTAAAGAGGAAAGATCAAAGTATTTTGGGGGTATTTTTTTTACATTTTTTAATCTTTCCTAGCACGCCTGAAATTTCCGTTAAAATATTGTTTTTTTTTTTGGTCAAAAAAAAATGCAGATAATCATTTTCAATCATTTTTTCGATTTGATAAAAAAGATTAAAATCTTACTTTGATATTCTTTTAAAAGTCAATTATCATTTTTTCAAAACTGATTTTAATAAAAACAGATATGATACTGTTACTTGTAGGTACCCTTCTCAGTTGAAATTGAAAACTCAAATTAACTTCTCCATACGTGTTTCGCAAAAGTAAAGGGCTTAACAGCGGAGAACAATGCTGAACTCAAATAATGCAACTAAATTGTATTCTGGTTGGTCTTCCGTACTTGATAATTACTGTCCGACTATAAACACAATAATTACATTTCTTAATTACCATGGCTAATCTGATTGGTCCAAATTATACAATTTTCAAAGCGCTCGACAATGACAATCTCACACGGACATTTTGAAAGGTTGATGTTGCTTTTAATTAATGTTAAAATATTTTTTAAAATTCAATTTAAACATTTTTAAAAAATCTTTTTTAAAATTAAAGAAATAAGAAATAATTGTATTAAAAAATTCAATTTTCATTGAAAAAAATTTTTTTTTGCTTTCAGAAAATATTGTCCATATTCATAAAAAACAAATTAAAACAAATAAAAGCATTTGAAAACTAAATAATATATTTGTTTTATTGAGTTTTGTATGTTACAATTCACAGCTGATTTTCAGGTACGTTGGCCAAAAAAAAAAAAAAACATGACTTGCATTCTTCAAAGCCTTGTGCTTTTTAACTATTGTAATCACTAAAACCGATGGTCTCGAATTTCTAGAGTTTTTCATACAATTAGTTATGGGGTGTTAATAAATATAAAAAAAAAAATATTTCTGCCATGAATTTAATAAAAAAAAATATTTATAATAATTTCGATCATCTGTGAATAGTTTCTGAAAGTTTCATTAACATCTGACAATTATTTTTATTTTTGCAAGATTTTCCAAATTAATGTGTGTAAATACAAAAAAATGCGCTAAAAATTATCTATGTTATTTACTACCCCTTGTTGCGACAAAGAGAAACAAGGTTTTTTAAATCAAAATTTAGAATATTCTAAAAAGATGGAAAATATTTTAAAAATAATTAAAAAAAAATTTAGTCTATCCTCTTCATAAAAAATAAGCATTTTGACGATAAAATTTTGTTTTCATAAACTTTGGCGTCTTTTTCATCAGACTATGCTCTATGTTTTAGCGATTCCGTGGAGTGACTTAGGTTAAAAAACCCAGGTTGTTTATGTGTGTGTGTGTGTGTGTGTGTGTGTGTGTGTGTGTGTGTGTGTGTGTGTTCCTTTATATATGGGATCGGATTTCTTACATTTTTCAGTCGATAAAACAAACATCCACTTTTTTTTTCGGCAGGTAGTATTTGTTATTGTCTTGCACACTTTTTTCTTTATTTACATTCAGAATGCTATAAAAATTCCATTTACAAGACAATTGTTTATAATAAAATTCTATTCACCAATCGATAGACTCATAACGATTGTAAACAATGTTTTTGTTTGAATTTGGGTTTGACCAATTCGTAAAAAAAAACAAAAAAAAACCCCAAAAAAACAAAAAGAAAACAAACTAATTAAGACATGCGTGTCCGTCAACCTTAAACAATAATCTTTGTCAATTTTATTTTTCAGTCTTTATGATGGTCGATACTTGCTCTATCTCTTACTGTTACATCCCCGGGCAACGCCGGGCTCTACTGCTAGTACACCAATATATCTGCACCAGTGATTCTCAACCACCATACTGTGGCACACGAATGTGCTGCACGATCATTGTAAGTCTGCCATGAATATTGTCACGGCATACATATATGTGTGTGTGTGTGGGGGGGGGCACCTCGAGCAAGGCTTGCTAGAACATTTACGACTGAGTAGTGAGTTCGATCCTCACTGGGTGCCCCCTAATTTCGGCATTGTGCCACATCTAAGCTACGCTTGGAAAGTCACTATATATGTGTGTGTGGAAGTGTTAATGGTACAGTGTTAGTATTTGAATAAATGAATAAGTATTAAACTATTTTCTTTTAAATAAGTCTTTTCACTATGTTCATTCTAATAATGGACTTCATATAGTAAAAACAGAACCAGTGAATGAACTTATACCAAAGCTTTATTTCACTTTAATCTGACTACTCGTCTACTGATGGATATTACAGGGTACTTTTTATACCTCCTAAATCTTAAGGGGAGGTAACTGATGATTTATCAGTATATTTCAGTTATTTGAAGAAGAAGAATTGGCTACCATTTCTAGTGATCAAGAGCTCAAAATAAAACATTCAATGGTATCCATTGATACATTTTAGATTTTAATACAAAAGGAATATCCCCCATTAGCTAAGAAGGATTTATCAATTTTATTGCAATTTTCTTATTATTTATGTGAATTAGGTTTCACAGCCCTAAATAACATCAAAAATAAGAAGTGAGAAAGACTACGCTCAACTGAAGAAGAAATGAGGGTCTGCTTATTGCACATTCGATCACACATTGAAGAAATCGTGAAAAAATACCAGGCACTGATTTCACACTAAATAAGCTGCATAAATAGTTGTATAAAAACATTGAAATAAACTAAGTTCATATTTGTGTGTGATTTTTAAAAAAAAATCTATGGTTTTATTTCTTAACATTTACATGTATACCCTTTACAAATTTTGCTAAGTGTACCATGATATTTTCATTTGCTTTTAGGTGTGCCGTTGCTTACAAAGGTTGAGAAACACTGATCTACACCAACAGACAAGTGTGACTTTTTTTTTTGGGGGGGGAACGGTTGTTTTTGTGCATGTATAGATTTATTTATTTGCCTATTTGTATTTATGAAACATACAGAAAACCAAAATAAAAGGGGGAAAAAAAAAGAAAAAAAAAAAAGGAAAACATTTTAGTTGCAAACCATACCAAGATATATATCAATACAAAACATCTTATTTAACTGCTGGTGCTTTTGGTTGTGGAGTGTCAATGTTGTCAGTTGCTTCATTATAACTTGATTGCATCAGTGCAGAACCTTTCACGGCTTTAAAATTCTTTCTCTGTCTTTCAAAGTCTTCGACACAGTAGTGTGTGATAACTTCATATCACATGTGATTGCATTCACTTTCTTTCCTCCTTTGTGATGTTAAATCCCCATTATTTTTGTATCCAGATCAACAGCCTTTCTCTCCTTCTTGACAGGTTGAGGAGAAAACAGAAAATTTCCCCTTGGTAGACATCATTTGAAGAAAAATTTCAAAGACAATTGGACTTGAGGGAAAGTGTGTTATATCGAGGTTGCCCTAACAATGAGCTTGAGGGGTTATAGGATACAAATCCTGTATCATTCCAACAAATGACTAAAAAAACACAAAGTAGATTTGCACACCCGCAAAATCGGATCAAAACGACCAAAAACAGATTTCGCAATAAGGTGTGAAATTAATTTTCTGACCAATGAAAGGAGGCGATTTGCTAAACCAAAAAAAAAAAAAAAAAGATAACGAGCCAGTGTGAAAAAAAAGTCAACAATAAATAAAGAGTTTCAAGTCAGTCGCCGAGTCAGAAGGGCGCAAAGATCACAGAAGATTGACAGTAAATTTCATCACTGACTCAACCCGACACAAAGAGCCGAAAGTGGAGTAGGAAAGGACAACAACAACAACAAATTTACAACTGACTCCAAAACAATTCATAAACACATTTTCTTTTTATCTTTATTCCTCATTCACACTCTCTTTTTCAACTTAAATTGCTTGCCCCTTTTTCATTTGCAACTATACAAAACAAAAGAAACAGACATTACTCTGCTACTCTGTTAAAAGACAGCGAACATAGACATTTTTGTCAAAATCACATTTTTGCTTAAACGAACTAAAACATTAATCTTTTTTACCCTATTCACAAGATAATAAATATACAATGTTCTATTTTTTATAAACGTTCCTTATCGTGTTGTTCATTCTTGAAATTTGCATTGTATTTTGTGGGCAGGGTATCCCGTATTAAATTCTCCTTTAATCCGGGTACGCTGAACCCCACAGGGTGTAAGGGAATGTTAACATTGACGGCAGTTGGGGCAGATATTTTCATACATCAAACTGGGAAACACTCACACTGCCAGATGTGGATCAGTTATGACCAGATGGCAAGACGTACCAATTTGTGGTCATGGTTGTCAAGTCTTAAGTTGCATAGGTTGTAAGTCGATGACGACCTGTATTGATAGGAATTTTCTCCTTTGCCTTTTGTTTGAGGTTATGTCGAATGTGACTGTCTGGATTATGTCTTTATTCTTTCTTCAAGTTAAATGTGCTCTTCATTTTAGTTGTTGCTGCTGTTGAATGTCCTCAAGTGATGTGGTTTCTGTTATTTGCTAAAGTTCTTTATGATTCTGTAGCGCCAATCTATGAGGTTTAAAGAAGGATGGTCCTTATCTTGATGAGGCCTAAACACTTCACTTGCTCAAAGCCATTTTTTTATTATTGATCTAAGAAAATAGTTGTTTAGAATGTGTTTGGTATTCATTGACTGAGCAACCAGTTGTAATTTATAAAATCTTTCTCTTAAAACTATTCTTCAGAGAAATAAGTTTCTCAAGTTCATTAGCTCTTATCATTCTTTCCAGTACAGATCGTCATCATCATATCGCATCCATATAAAAGTTTTGATCTGACAAGACGAAGAGAACATAACTTGAATTTCTATCTTAATGTTTTGCTTTTCTAGTAGACATTACCCTTAGCACAGCCTATTCTATCTTCAATTTGCTTATCATCTATATTAAATTTACTGGAACTGATCCATACACAGAGGTATTAAAAGTGTTTAGTATTTGCTAATGTCA